CCAACGACGGTATCGAGCACAGTGAATGTACCGTCGAGGGTTAATGGAGCGGCGCCAGGCCCACAACGGGGCAGCAATGAAACGAAACACAAAACAACCATACCACAGAGGGGAGCCCTGCCCTTCAGAGAACACACAGTTAATTGGGGAACATCATCGCTCCATATGCATCCCACTCAGTACGCTCCCAGGCAGGCCATCGTACACAGAAGAAGCAGCAACAGCGGCGCACGCACCCACGCAGGACTGCCGGTGCTGTCAGTGTTGCCGGTCTCCTGCAGCATGCCGCTCCAGTCACTCTTTATTGCACCCAGAGGAGCGGAATATTCGTCACCTCCAACTTGTTGCCTCTCCTGCACACCTTTATCACGTACAGGCACAGCAGGCTCCGCCACTGACTCTGCTTGCTCCACTGCACTCTCGTCAGAGCTGTCTGCAGCCTGCTCGAGCTCCCCCACTGGTCGGGCAGTCACCGAAGCCCCAGCGGCCTCATCCACCGTGTTGGTCACTGCGGCTGCTGTTTGAGATCGGTCTTTCGCATGGATGGGCACAGCACCGGCACCTCTGCTCAACTGCTGCTTTGGCGGGTCCAACTTTCCCTGAAGCCTCGCCTGTGTTGAGTCATGTGAATGAGCAGCAGAGAGATCGCCAGCCGCATTGGTGGAGGTGTCGGTAGCCATCCCAGACGTGAAGCCAGTAGCGGGAATGGGGGAAGAAGGCGCCGTCTGCTGCAGCTGTTGCTGGACTTCAATGGAGGCACGATGTCGCTCCTCCTGCTCCGCTGTTACCAGCGCTCGCTCGTCGGCCACCTTCTTCTCCAGTGCCTTTTTCCTTTTTCTTTCAGCAACCGCTTGTTCTTCCTCGAGTTTCCTCTGTGCTTCTTCAACAGCCGCCCTCTCTTCCCCTGCTGCTGCCAGCGCTTGCTCGTCGGATGTCTGCTGCTCCAGTGCCTGTCGGTGCGCGGTCTCAGCGGCTGCTTGCCGCCCCTTCGCTTCTTCCAGCGCAGCCGAAGCGGTGTTCTTCTCATCTTCGGCCGTATTCAGTCCTTGCAGAGCTAACGCCCTCTTTTCCCTTGCCTCCTGCAGCTCTCGATCAGCGTCTGTCTTCTTTTTCGTAGCTACTCCCAGCTCCGCGGCGGCAGATTCCATGCTGCTTTGAGCGACCGCCAGTTCAACCTCAGCAGCTCCGCGTTGCACTTCGGCCTGCTGCAGTGCACTCTTAGCACCGGCCTCCTGCCTCGTCGCCGTCGTCAGCGCCTCCGAAGCGGTAGCCTTTTCCCCCTCGGCTTCCCTCAGTCTGGCTGTAGCGTCTGTCCTTCGCTGTTCAGCCTGTGTATGCGCCGCTGCGGCCGCTTTCCTGATCTCCTCTGCATGCTTCTTCAGATCTTCAGCAGCGTATTCTGCCTTGGTGGTGGCTGTTGCCATTCTTATAGCATGTGATCCGGCTGATGCTGTTTTCGATGATGCGTCCTTAATTCTCTGCACCGCTGCATCTGTATGCGTCCTCAGTTTTGTAGCGATCCCTGCTGCCTCTTGAGCTCTGACTGCCACATACGGCATATCTTCACTCTTTTGCTGAACCAATTCCTTTATTGACCTTTCAATTTTATCTTCCACACGCTTAGCTTCGCGGATTGCGGCGTCGGCGCTTCGTTCTGCGTCGGTAACATCATCCATTGCAACCCCAAGGTACTTAATAGTATCATCAATCATCTGCACTGCCGTTCTTGCATGAGCTGCCGCTTCTGTTGCATTATTCGCTGCCTTTGTGGCTTCGTCTTTTTTGTCCTTAGCAGCACTTGCCAATACATTTGACGACACTCTCTCCGCCTCGCTGCAGGAGCTCTTCACCTCTTCAGCGCTCAAACGTGCGTTCCTGGCGTCCTCTTCGAGTTTCTCAAGCGTTAAACGTTCCTTCTGAGCCTCACTCACAGCAATACTAGCTTTTTGTATTGTCCCAGCAATCTTCACTTTTGCCTCTTCAGCAAAACTCAGGGCCCGTTGAACTTTATCCGCGGCTGTTGCGTCCAGAACTGAGCCTTCATTCACTACTTCCTGAGCCAAGTCCCCTACTTTGCCTGCCTCCACCGCTGCGCCTGTGGCAAACTCTGTTGCCTTCTCCACGCCGTCGGCAACAAGCAAAATAACATTCGCCTCACTCGCTGCTCTGTCAGCCAACCTTCTAGCACTTTCTTTTACACCCGCAGCGCGCTCTAGGACATCGTTGGCAATACGTACTGCTTCCGCAGCTGCTTTTTCCGCCCGCTTAGCGTTTTCAGCTGCAACACCAGCTTCATTCAGTACAGTGTTGACCTCCCTTTCTGTAGTCTTGGCTCTGCCCTCCGTCTCATCAGCCTTTTTCTTAGCCTTGTCGACCTCCGCTTCAGCCTCCTTGTGCAACGCACTCTTTGACTCCTTTTCTTTCTCGGTCTCTCTACTCTTCTCCAGAGACTTACGCACATCATCCTCAGTTGTGGCCTTTCGCTTCTCAGCAGTATTCACCAAATCAACAGCCTCTTTCACTGCATCATCGTATTTACTTACAGCCGCATCAGCCAACCCCAGCATATTTCTCTTCGCCTCTGCTTCAGCATTGGCTTTCTCAACCCTTGCCTGGGCAGCCTTCATCAACTCCTCAGCCTCATTCAAGCTTCGCGCCGTAACCCCCACAATATCCTTGGCTCTTTTTACGGATTCCGCCAGTGCCCCAACCTTCAACTCGTGAGACGCAAAACTGGTCCCCACACCCACTGCAGACGTAGCAGCAGTCACGCACAAGGCCGTGCAGCACAGAGCAGCGGCCAACACGCACACAACGCGGCGCACTGTCGCCATCATTCAATATCGCTTGAGCAGCTGGGGTCTGCAGGG